TCCCTGCAGGTTCGAGAAGCTGGCAGAGGACTGCAGACGGAGCATGGACACCCTGAAGCAGGCCTTCGCCAGAGGTCTGCCCACCCCTGTCGCCCGCTTCGAGCAGAGAACTTTCAGCGTCATAAAGTAAGACCCCAGTGTTCCCTGGGGTTCCGTGCTCCTGGAAGTGTGCACACATGCCTCTGCCCACAAGCGGGGACACAGAGTGTGCAAAGGCTCTGAGGCAGGCGGAGGTGCAAGCCATAGGTCACCAGCAGCTAGGCACAGACATCTGGAAATGCAACAGAGATGTGGTAAGGGCGAGGATACATCTAGTTCCAGTGGCCCAGTGAGCCCACAGGGACTGGTGATGCATGTCAGTTTGGTGGTCACAGCCTGGTTCCTGCTAAGGTATCCCATGCCCTGAGGAACGGGATTGTGTCTGTACGTGAGATTGAGCACAGCAGCTGGCCCTGCAGAGGCTCCTGCCCCACTCAGGGTGACCCACATATCTCATCCTGTTTCCTGCCCTTTCTCTCTTCCCCACTGTCCTTGCTTTGCTTGGCCCCCCAGGCACAGGACTCTCTCTCTGCTCCCTGCTGCGATCCAGACCTCTCCCACTCAGGGCCTTTGTATCTGCTGCTTCCTCTGGTCAGGTCTTCTCCGGGCCTCCTGTGGCAGGACTTTGTCTTCAGGTGTCACCTATGTTGTCACCTCCCAAGGGGCCCTCCCCGACCACAGTGTAAAGCATTGCACCTAGCTGAATTCTTGTCGGAGTTGCATAGTTTTCTCATCGCATTCACTGGGCGACTGTCTTCGCAGCATTAGCAGTTCCCAAGCATAGGCTTGGGTCTGTCGGTTCATTCTATGTCCCCAGAAACTGGGCACTGGCTGGCTGGTGCTTAGTAGGACTCAGGGAATATCAAGTGAAGGGAGGTCCTACAGCAGCCCAGGGACTGGTTATTGCAGCGTAGATGCTAAAGAAATACTGTGAAGAGCCAGGTGTGATGTCACCTGTAACCCCAGCACTTTGAAGTCTGAGGCGGGAGGATTACCTTGAGCTGGAAGCCTTTTGGGGCTACATAGTGAGTTCAAAGCCAGCCTGAACTCTATAGCAAGATCCTGTCTCCAAGAAAAATAGTCACATGAAAAGAAGGTCCCGGGCAGTGAGGGCTCTTGAGACATTAAGCGAAGGGAAGTTTGTACAATGGCTAAGGCACTGCTAAGTGCATAGTAGGTGCTCAAGAAATATGGTTGGAGAGAAGGCCCCTTCACATTGGCAAGAACACTGCCTTGAGCTTGTGGGAATATTATGGAAGTCCCACAGTCATTAAGGTACCAGCCAGCCCATGGTCAGTTCTCAAGAAATACTGTCCAATGAAGAGGAAGTCCCAGCAGCAAGACCAGTGATCAGTGAATAGTGAGGAACTCAAGAACTATTGCTAAAGAAAGGGAGATTCCTGCCAGGCACAATGGCATATACCTGTAATCCCACGTACTTGAGAGGCTGAGGCAGGAGAATCACAAGTTCAAGGACAACCTGGATAACTTAGACCCTGTCTCAAACCGAAAAATAAAAAAAGGCTGGGAATGTGGCCCGGTGTTAGGGTTGTCCCTGGGCTCAGTCCATGGTACTAAAAAACATCCGGAGTGGGAAGTGCTTACAGCAGCAAGCCTACTGGTCAGTGCGTGGTAGGTACCAAATGTGTGCAGACTGAAGAAAGGACCCAGAAGCTCAGCAGTGGCAGACCTGAACACAGAACTCTCGTCTGTCTGATCCTAAAGCACAGGGCACCCCAGAGGCCAGGGTGGGTTTTATGCCCGAGCCCAAGGAAGGTGGGAGGGCAGGTGGGGCTGGGGCCGAGGTCCCTCCTGTTACCCTCCTGCCCGCCCTGCAGGATCTTCCCAGAACTGAGCAGCAACGACATGCTCCTGTTCATCGTGAAGGGCATCAACCTGCCCACGCCCCCAGGTGAGGTGGCCGGAGGCGACGGGGGAACGGGACCCTCCCTTTGCCCAGCTCTGACCCGGCTTGCCTACAGGACTGTCCCCTGGTGACCTGGATGTCTTCGTCCGCTTCGACTTCCCCTACCCCAACGTGGTATGTGGGGAACCAAGGGGGCAGGTCGGGATGGGGTCCCAGGCCGTGTGGTGTGCTGGGCTGTTAACATTCTCCTGGTGACACAGGAGGAAGCCCAGAAAGACAAGACCAGCGTGATCAAGAACACGGACTCCCCTGGTGAGTGGGTCAGGAGCATCCCACATGGCCCTGCAGCAGAGAAGGAGCCTGTGACCACGCGGGTCCCCTCTGTCTTTCCCAGAGTTCAAGGAGCAGTTCAAACTCTGCATCAACCGCAGCCACCGCGGCTTCCGCAGGGCCCTGCAGACCAAGGGCATCAAGTTCGAAGTGGTCCACAAGGGGTAAGCAGGGCCATGGGCGCAGGTGGGCGTCGGGCACAGGGCCGCCTGGACCAGCCACTCTGCCCCGTCACCCAGGGGGCTGTTCAAGACTGACCGGGTGCTGGGGACAGCGCAGTTGAAGCTGGATGTGCTGGAGACAGCGTGTGAGGTCCACGAGATCCTGGAGGTGAGCAGACCCTCCCCTCCCTACCACCCCAGACACTCCTGGGCTCCTGGATGCCCAGGGTGCCTTTCGCTCCCCACCCAGGTCCTGGACGGTCGCCGGCCCACAGGGGGACGGCTGGAGGTGATGGTGAGGATCCGGGAGCCACTGACGGCCCAGCAGCTGGAGACCACCACGGAGAGGTGGCTGGTCATAGACCCCCTGCCTGCAGCCGCGCCCATGGTGAGTACCTGCTGTCTGCCCAGGGAGGGAGCATGGTGCCCACCTGGAACTCACAGGCCTGGGTCTCTCCTCTGCAGCAGGTCACTGCACCCAGAGGGAAAGCACCTCCTGTGCCTGCCCCTTCCAAGGAGCCAGGGAGCAGGTAGGAGCCTGGCCAAGCTACGGCGAGGTTCCCTTTACATCTTGCAGCCCTTCCAGGACAGTTTCCCATGAGGCGCAAACTGGACCGTGGCCCTGTCCTGCTCCCAAACCAGTTCTGTGCCCTTCTGGAGGATCCAGTTTAAACTCTTCAGCTGGGATCTTTAAGCTCTTTTGTGATCTAACCATTGTCAATGTATCCAGACTTCTCTTTCCTCGTTCCCTTATGTTGGTTCATGGCTACATCTAGTTTTCGTTGTCTTCCTGGCTTCACGCTGTTCTGACTCCCTGAGCTTCTCTTCCCCTTCCCTTGCTCCTTGTCCTCTGGATCCCAGTTTGGCTGTCACCTCCTCCAGGAAGCACTTCCTGATCATCAGGGATCACAGTGGCCTGGGTGTGCAGACAGCACCCGCCCCCAGGCTGTGGCCTCCAAAACACTGGGGTAGACCTCACTTGTTTCCTCTGTGCCTCATTACTCAGCATGTCTGTTGAACAGTGGGGTCGGGCAGGGGGAGTCCCTGCTGTCCCCCATCTCTCCTGCCACCCCCACAGGTCAGCCCGGCCCCTGCACAGCCTCAGTGTACTGGCCTTCGACCAGGAGCGGCTGGAGCGGAAGGTGGGTGCCCATCCTGCTGGGCTTGGCGCAGTGGGCCTGGGTGCCTACGGCCCTGGACCAAGAGCTCACACCCCTGTCTGTGTGGCCCTAGATCCTGGCCCTAAGGCAGGCACGGCGGCCAGTGCCCCCAGAGGTGGCCCAGCAGTACCAAGACATCGTACAGCGCAGCCAGTGGCAGAGGGCCCAGCTAGAGCAGGGAGGAGCTGGCATCCGGAGAGGTAGGGGTCTGGGGATGGACATCTAGAAGGTCAGGGGCTTGGGACAGGCATCTGGAAGTTTAGGTGCCTGGGGACAGGAATCTAGAAAGTTAGGGGCTCGGGATGGGCATCTAGAACATCGGGCTCAGGAGTGAGCATCTAGAGTATCAGGGGCTCAAGATGGGGATCCAAGGGGCAGAGGCTGGGCCAGCCCTTGTGGAGAACAGCAGCCTCGTTTCCTGCCTCCACCCTAGAGTACACAGCCCAGCTGGAGCGACAGCTGCAGTTCTACACAGAGGCTGCCCGGCGCCTAGGCAATGATGGCAGCAGGGTGAGTGGGGTCCCCCGGGGCAAGTGGGGGTTGGGGATACCCCGCTGACCTGCTGTGGCCCCTCTGTCTCCCCAGGAGGCCGCGAAGGAGGCGCTGTACCGGCGGAACCTGGTTGAGAGTGAGGTGAGCTGCCTGGAGTGGTGGTGGGCACTGCTGTGGTCTCGGCCCCTGACCCTCCCCCATGTCGTTCCCTAGCTGCAGCGCCTCCGCAGGTGAGAGCCCAGCAGGGGGTGCGGCTGGACAACCGGAGGATCTCACAGGCCACCAACCCAAGCCAAGTGGACAATCAGTGGACAATCGGTTCTGGACTCATCCTCTCCAGGGCCCCAGCCCAGCCAGGCCTCCCTGGCCGGGCCCCAAGGACTCTACCCCTCACCCAAGCCAGAGTCCTGTTTGCACATCCCTGGGTGCCCACCTTGCTGCCCCTGAGCAGGAGGGTGGCAGGGACCAAGCCCCAAGGGCCTCTGCAAGCACTTTACTTCCTGTCCCTTTCCGGCCTTAACCCTACAGCCCTCCACACCCCAAAGAAGCCACCGAGGTTGGTGCCTGGGACTGCACAGGCCGGGACATGGAATAAACAGCCAGGCCACGCCCAGTTCAGCTCTCTCCTGCCTGTTTCTCACTCTGGGCTGCAGTGACCACACCAGGCTCTCCTCAACCCCAGGCCCCCAGGGAGGAGCAGGTGGGAGGAGGACTTGTACCGCACATGCGCTGTGAGATGCTGCCGAGACCGTGCGAAATAAAGCGGGTATGGGATTCCGCGGTTGGTCTTGCGCTGTAGGGAGATGCTGCGGAGGCCGACCGTAGATCATACGCTGCTTGGTGACCACGTGTCTCAGAACCTCAAAATCCAGTCCGGTCACGCCCTGGAGAGGAACGCTGGGCCCAGCTCCTTGCTCTCCTTGGCACCTCAGAGCCTGTTTCACCGGCTGGACTCCAGGGTATGGGGAGGCGGCAGAGGGCAGAACCCCGAGAAGGGCGCTGGTCCCGGGTGAGTGCTGGAAAGGGGTAGGCTTTATTGTCTCTGGTTTCATCTGTCCCTCCCAGGGCCCCAGCGGGGCACTGTCCCCTCAGCCCATGCCCCACTGAGCCCTAGGGTGCGGGGCTGTTCTGCAGCCTCAGGAGCCCCCTGCCCGGGGCCGATGCCGGGGGGTAGGTGGCAGCCGGACCAGGACCTGTTCTGGATTGTCGGCCGTGTCCACCACGCGCAGGTGTGGGAGGCCCAGGAAGGCCTCCTCCGCGATGCTGGTCATGTGCAGCCGGTTGGCCCTGCGAAGAAGTGCGTGGGCAACGGTCAGTGGGCGCGCCACTCCCCAGACAATCCTGTGGGCTCGGATGCCCCGCCCTGGCGCCTTGGTCACGCCCCGGAGGCAAGTCCCCGACCTGAGGATGAGGGCGCGAAGGCGTGGCGTGCTGAGGAAGGCATCGGGTCCCACGTGGCTGATGCGGTTGCCCTGCAGGTGCAGCTCCTCCAGGGCCTCGGGCAGGTCGGGGGGCACGAAGGATAGCTCGTTGTGGCTCAGGTCCAGTACCTGGTGGTAGGGGATACAGTGCCTGGTGATCCCAGCATAGCCATCCCCCAAGACTCCTGCTGCTCCCCAGACTGTAGCCACCTCTCCCCCTTTTCTTCCATACTGGGGGTTTGAGTCCAAGACCTTAACACTGAGCCCCCCCGCCATTTCCCCTTTTGAAAATCTGAGAGAGAGCCGGGTGTGGTGGCGCACACCTGTAATCCCAGCACTCTGGAGGCTGAGGCAAAAGGATCGCTATGAGTTTGAGACCAGCCTGGGCTACATAGTGAGACCCTGTCTCAAAACACCAGGAAAAAAAAATCTGAGAGTATCTTGCTAAGTCAGTAAGGTGCCCAAGCTGGGCTCAGACTTGCAGATCTCCTGCCTCGGTCTCCTGAAGTACTCTACTAGAATTACAGAATTTGAACTGCCAAGGCCTCTCCCTCCTCCTCCCCTTCCTCTTCTTCATCCTCTTCATCTCCTCCTCCCCAGTTGCCAAATTCCTTCACTGCAGAGTCCCTTCCCAGGGCATTCCTGTTCTCAGCGCTCAGAGCCCTACAGACAGGCCCCACCGGGCTAGATAGGTACTCACAGAGCAGGCCTCTCCTCACCTCCCTCTCCTAACACCCTGGCTTGTGTCCCTGCCCTTGACGGCTTGCTGTCTAACCAGGCTGTCTGGAGAGGGTGAGGGGCGGGAGCTGCTTCCTGTGCGAGGACCGTACCAGGCACCTACAAACCTCTCCGTGGAATGGAGGTACTGGGGAGCAGCCAGAAGTCAGGGAGGCAGGGACAGTGGGCAGAGGCCGTGGGGACAGCCCGGGAACTCCTCCTGACCTGGAGGGCCTGCAGCTCATGCCACGTGCCGGGCCCGATGTCACCAACGCGCAGCCGGTTGTGTGCGAGTCTGAGCTCCTGCAGCTGACCCAGCCCAGCCCACGACTCAGGCTCCAGGGCGCGCAGCTGGTTGCGCTGCAGGTGCAGGGTGTGCAGGCCTCCAGGCAGGCCCACGGGCACCTGGGTCAGCCGATTACACTGGTCAGCTGGTTGTAGGCCAGGTTGAGCTCGGCCAGGCCTGGTGTGGAGGCCAGGTCACGGGCGCCCAGCACAGCCACGTGGTTGTGGGGCATCAGCAGGGCCCACAGGTGGCGTGGCAGCGCAGCGGGCACACGTTCCAGCTGATTCCCATAGAGGTGCAGTGCGTGCAGCCTCCGCAGCGGGCGCAGTGCCTTGGCTGGCAGCCCCGTGGCCCCCAGCTCATTGTGCTGCAGCAGCAGGTACCGCAAGCCCCTAACCCCGCGCAGCCGGGCCGCCTCCACCTGCCGGATGCGGTTGCGGCCCAAGTGCAGGATGGTCAGGGCCTTGGGCAAGCCAGCGGGCACCGTGGCCAGTCGGTTGTGGGATAGATCCAGGTACTCCAGGCTGCGAAGCTTGCTGCCGGGAGAGAAGATGGGCTTCAGGCTACGTGCCCAGAGAGAGGGGCTGCCAGGTCTCACAGGGAGGGAGGGTCCCGAGACAGAATTCGGCTGGGGTGGTGTCTGAGGGAGCAGGCTGGGAGGTAAACTTGGGGCGCTCAGGGCAGGTTCCAGCCTGAAGGTTAGCTGTGTGTGTCGGGAGTCACCACAGAAGTCTAGGTCAGCAGAAATGCATGTGGCTATCGTACTGGATAAAAGAATAAACCTCAGTACATGAGGAAGGATGAGGCAGGAGGATCTCAATTTGAGTACCACCTGGGTAATTTAGTGACACTCTGCCTCAAAAAAAAAAAGGCTGGGGATGTAGCTCAATGGTAGAATGCCCTTGAGTTCAGTAGCCAATGACTTAAAACCTCTGTGCAGACTCGTAGGGGACACAGACCCTGCCACTGCCAAGCTGAGCCTGGTATGGTGTAGGCACTCAACAAACAAAGCCTGTTAGGTGTCATGCAGAGGAGGAGGTGAAGATGGAGACAGCCAGGCTAAGTGCCCAGCTTCGACTGTGCCCTGTCCTGCCTGGCCATGGCCCACCTGAAGGTAGTGGCATCCAGGCCACTGTCTGTCAGCTGGTTGTGCTGGAGGTACAGCTCACGAAGCTGGGTCTGGTGGCTTAGGGCTCCTCGGGGCACCTTGGAAATGACGTTGTTCTGGAGAAAGAAGACAGTGATGTGGAGGGTCTGGGACAGAGGGCAATGGGGAGCCACAGACGGCTCTTGAGTGAGGGAGGTCCAGGAGCTTGCCTCTAGCAAGGCCGTAAGAGAGTTTCTGAGAAATGTCGTTCTTGCTGCTAGAATTTTGGAGGGTGCCGGAAGGATGGGAAGTAAGGCACAGAGGCTTCCTGGGAGAGCCTGGGGCACAGAATGGGTGGTGAGGGTAGGCACCTGCAGGTGTAGCTGCTCAAGCGAGGTGGGCAGGCTGGGCGGAAGGTGGCTGAGCCGGTTGCTGGAGAGGCTGAGGGTGGTGATGGCCTCGGAGCCTCGGAAGGCGTTGGGAGGGAGGCCGGCGTTGCCCAGCTGGTTGTTGTGGAGGTACACGGACCTGAGGGCGCCCAGGCTGTGTCTACGGCCCCCGCTGCCCCACCTCCCGGCCACACCAGGGTCCTGTGTTAGGGCCTCGCTGGAGTTCTCCACCCCACACAGGGCCCTGTCAGCCCCCAGGTCCCCAGTGCAGATCTGCACCCCTTAGGGCAGGGCCAGCTCCCCTAAGACCTCTCAAGGGAAAGCTCAGGGCACCCCTGGTCCCCCATGCAGTTGAGAGTAGGGGCCAGGGCTACCTGAGGGCCGGCTTCTCCCCAAAGGTGAGCGGGAAGATCTCCGTCACTTGATTGGCAGCCAGATCAGCCACACGGAGGGAGCGGGGCAGGAACTGGGGAGCCACTGAGAGCTGTGGGAGCAACAGCGCCCGTCCTGTGCTGTGCCAGCCCCCCACCTCCTGGGGCACACACGGGGCACAGGCTCACCTTGTTGTGGGCCACGTAGAGGTGCTGCAGCTGCCCGAGGGACTCGAAGGCCTCGTCGGGCAGGCCTGGGGGCAGGGGGTATGGGGTGGGCTCTGGAGGGCTTCAAGCTGGGCCCCTAAGGAGGTGCTTGGCCCCATCCCTCCTCAGAGCCACAGCCGCCACAGCCTAGATTGCTGTCCTCAGTAGAGGCTGCTGCTGGGAAGTGCAGCCACAGAGCTGCCCGCCGGCAAGGACCCAGACGCTAGAGGGGACCCGGTGCATCCCACACGCCCACCCCAGGCCCTCACCCTCAGAAGAGATGAAGTTGTGGTGCAGATTGAGTGTTCGAAGGCTACTGAGGCGGGACAGCTCATTGTAGGGGAGCTCCCGGAGCTGGTTGTTCTGTAGGGGAAGGGACAGTCACACCCTGACCCCACTGACCTCTCACCAGCAATGCAGACCCCGGCCTCTGCTGAATTCCCTATCGGCCCCAGAACCCCGCGTTTATCCCAAACCATCCCATCACCTTGGCCCCAGACAGCCAAGCACTGAAGCTCAGCAATATCCTGTCACTGTGTAGTCACCCAAAACAACCATTTGTTTTTGTTTGTTTGTTTGTTTTGAGACAGGGCTTCACTACATAGTTGAGACTGACCTGGAACTCACTATGAGGCCAGGCTGGTCTCAACTCACAGCGATTCTCCTGCCTCAGCCTCCAGAGTGCTGGGATCACAGGCGTGCGCCACCACGCCTGGCTAACCCTAAACAACCCTGTATCCAGCCAGACACAGAGGCTTTGCATCTGTCATCCCAGAACTCTGGGAGGCTGAGGCAAGAGAATCACAAGTTCAAACTCAGTCTGGAAAATTTAGCCACTTAGCAAAACCCTGTCTCAAAATAAAAAATAAAGGAGGGCTGGGGATTTAGCTCAGTGGTTCTGGCACCTGCCTTGCAAGCAGAAAGGGCCCGAGTTTGATCCCCAGTACCAAAAAGACAAACAACAACAAAAAAAAAGTAAAAGAAGGACTGAGGATGTAGCTCAGGACAAAGGCTCTGGGTCCAGTCCCTAGTACCACACAAAATAAAATGAAACAAATAACCCTACCTCCTCTGAGACGCTGCCTCCCCACAAACCCCCATCTGTAGCAGTGCCAGCTGCCTGGTCTGAACCTGAGCTCTACCCACCAGCTCCCTGGGCCTCACTTTCCATTTTCAGGGTACAAATGCCCACCACACTGACCCTAAACAACCCCTCAACCGAGACCTTGACCAACATTGTATTCTCCATTGTCAGCCCCAATCCTCAGCTACCAATCCGTCGATCCCCCACATCCCAACAATCACCCCCAAACCTACGTCTCCAAACAATTCCATTACCCTATGATATTGATCGCAAACCTTAGCTCTTCCCACACCTCGTATCTTCACCCCCAAATCATTCCCTTCCCACCTGCAGGCTGACAGCAAGGCCAACTTCTCTTTTTTGTGACGTTTTTTCAGTCTTGGGAATGGAACCTCGGTCCTTCACATTGGCCTCCAGCCCCAGCCCTGTCTTTATTTTTTATTTTGAGAGAGTCTCACTCAGTCACTGATTTGTCCAGGCTGGGTTTGAACCTGTGATCCTCCTGCCTCAGCCTCCCAGAGTGCTGGGATGACAGGCGTGCACTAACAAGTTTCTGTCGCCGCCCATGCCTACCTCCCACTCATGGGCGGCACCCCCACCCCTTCCTTCCTCCGCTCCCTGCCTCCCCTTGTCCCCTCTCTATGCAGCCCCACCTGCAGGGAGAGGTACCGGGCCTCCCTGGTAATATTGTCTGGGAGTACATGCAAGTCCAGTCCGGCACAGTCCACCACGTCAGCCTGGGGACAGGAGCAGCGCCAGGGACAGGCCCAGGGTGGGGGCTGCAGGCTCTCTCCTGGGTGGGGGAAGTCAGGGTCCTCCATGCCAGGAACAGGCAGGAGGCCCGGCGGCAGCAGCAGCAGCAACAGTAGGCTCAGCTGCTGGGAGTGAAGGGAAGACTCAGTGTGTGCCTGGCCGGCGCAGGGTCACCATGGCTACCGGAGCATCCCCCATCAGGGAGGGACGCAGTGGGCAGCAGGAAGAGCCAGGTGGACCCAACCCTCGAACCCTCCCTGCCCACCTTACCATCGCCAGCCCTGCTCTGCCTTCTCGCCCAGATACAAGCCAGGTGGTCACCTCCTGGAGACTCTGGTGTGACCACAACCTCCCTCCATCTCGGCCGGCCACTGCCTGCACACACAGCCTTCTCCTGGGCTTGACGGGGCTGGCCCACCCCGTCCCCGCCCTGGGGAGGGCAGTGGGCGGCCCGTCCCCTCGGTCCCCCTTGGTCCTCCCGCCCGCTCTGCTTCTGTAACCTCAGCCAGCCTGGCCAGGCTGTGGGAACCAGGAATGTTGCAGGCAAAGCTGAGATTCGCCCTGTCTGGTATTCGGGCCCACAGACTGACCGCAGACCCAGGGGTGGGGACTGAGAGGGGCTCGGGATCTTGGGATGCTCCCCAAGGAGCAGAGGTCAGCAGCCAGGGTGAGGGAGGCCTGGGCTCAGCCTGGGGCCCTCAGTCAGGTCACCGTGCTGGCCCCTCCTTCTCTTTCCAGATGGCCTTGTTGGCAGCCAGACACCCGGTCCCCAGCAGCCACAGCTGCTGAGAGGAAATGACATGGAACGGGCACCAGCCTGGTGGTTATGGGAAGGGCTCAGTGCCACCCTGCCTGGTTTGAGCCTGGGCTGCGCTCCTCTCTGGGCCTCAGTGTCCCGCTCTGTAAAGTGGGATAATGACCACTTTCCCTCCCAGGAGGGAGGTAGACTTTGAAGAGATAACACACAAGGGCCCACACCCACACATCTCTGAGGTCACCATGTGGTAGGCGTGGGTGCTGCCTGCTGTAGCCCCGATACCAGCAGGATGACTAAGGCCGACTCGTTGGCCTGCCTGGACGTCGGCTTTCTTACCTGGGAAACAGGAGTAAGGTAAAACCCTGCCTCAAAGGGCTGGCAGAAGCAAAACAAGGGAGTTGGGTAGAAAGGTTTTGTTGTTTTGTGTGGTACTAGGGCTTGAACTCAAGGTCTTCATGCTGAGCTAGCCACATCCCCGACTGTTTTTGTTTTTTTGGGTTTTTTGTTTTTTTTTTTTTTTTTTTTTTG